TGCAAAGAGAAATTTATTCTCTCACAGTCCAGTAGGCTACAAGTCCAAATTCAGGGCATCAGCCCCAGGGGAACACTTTCTCCATCAGCTCTGGAGGAAAGTCCATGTCAACAGTCTTCCTTTGGTCTGGGAGCTTCTCTGCGCAGGAACCTCAGGTCCAAAGGACGCGCTCTGCTCCCAGCACTGCCTTCTTGGTGGTATGAGGTTCCCAGGTGTCTCTGTTCGCTTCTCTCTTTTACATCTCAAAAGAGATTGCATTAAGACACTGATCTTGTCAGCCTCATCAGTATGACCTCATCACAGTGATAGAATTTACAACACATGAGGAGATCACATACAATCTCATCATAGTGGTAGAGTTTACAACACATGAGGAAATCACATCAGATAACGCAATCATACAATACTAGGAATCATGACCCAGCCAAGCTGCTACACACATTTTTTGGGGGACACAATTCAATCCATGACAGTAGGGATGAAAAAATTAGATTGAATTATATGAAACTGTCATTAAAGATCAACAATTCACATGGTTCAACCTAATACTTTAAGGATTATCTAGTCCTGGTTCTCCCCAAGTGTGTTTCTGGGAACAATGGTTCAGTAGAATGTTAAAAAAGTTCATTGTCAAGTTTAGGAAATGTTGGGTTAAACAAAGTTAAAATTGGTCTCTTTACCTCAGGACTTGCCCTTAATGTGCTAATATGAATTACAATTCTCCAAAAGAAGGATTTATTAGCCTAATGAAGATAATAAGGTGTACAGAGATTAAATGACTTACCAAAGTCACATAGCTGGTTAACGGCAAACTCAGAACCAGAATCTACTTCTCCTAATCCCTATCCCAAAATTAATTTCACTTCCCCAAGACTTCTTAATACCGGATTTTAAAGAAACAATTTTTTCCAAGGGTCATTTTTATAGTAATATAAGATGAGAAACACCAGTGGCTTATTCTGACAGTATTTACCACCACCCCCACCAAAGAAAAGTAATTAGCAAAGCATTTTTATATAACCACAAAAGCTTCCTCAAAGTAAGCTCTGTTGTTAGTTGCCATGCAGTTGATTCCATATACGCAGAGATTATAAACACTAGTGGTATTCAAAAACTTCTAAATATTCTTATTAAAAACATTTCCGCTAGAAAATCAGAGATGATAATCTTTTCCAATCAAAGTAAATAAGTACCTGGATGGAACTAAGAGAACAGTAAGCACAGCTTCCCAAATTGTGAGTTCCACAGAGCAGGACCATGTCTGTTTTGCTCACTAATATACACTCAGAGTCTGATATACAAAGTTTGTATTCCATAACTATTTGCTAAAAGAATGAATAATAAATCCCTGCTCTACCGTTTGCACTCGGCTACTAACCTAAAGGTTGGCAGTTCAAAATCACCCAGCAGTACTGTGGAAGAAAGGCTTGGCAATCTGCTTCCTTTAAGATTAACCAAAACCCATTGCCACTGAGTGGATTCTGACTCATAGCGACTATATAGGACAGAAACGAATTCCCCCATAGGGTTTACCAAGGAGCAGCTGGTGGAGTTGAACTGCCGACCTTTTGGTTAGCAGCCGTAGCTGTTAACCACTGCATCACTAAGGCTCCTCGGTTAAGATAACAGCCAAGAGAATCCTATGGCGTCGTGCTACTCTGCAATACATGGGGCTGCCATGAGTTGGAATCAACTCGACGGCAACGGGTTTGGTTTTGGTTTGGCTCCACAGTTAATCAGCTATAGGATCTAGATCAAGTTACGATTTCTTGGAATCTGAGTTTCTCACTTCGTAAATGCAGAGCTCAGGCCAGAAGGATCAAGATCCCTCCCATTTCTACGAATTCATGAATCTTACACAAATAAAAAAGAGCCCTGGTGGCACAGTGGTTAAGAGCTCGGCTGCTAACCAAAAGGTCGGCAGTTCGAATCCACCAGCTGCTCCTTGGAAACCCTATGGGGCAGTTCTACTCTGTCCTACAAGGTCGTTGTGAGTCAGAATCGACTTGACAGCAATGGGTTTGGGTTTTTTCGGTTTTATACAAATTAAAAGGAGCCGTGGTGGCAAAGTGGTTAAGAGCTCGGTTGCTAACCAAAAGGTCAGCCAGTTTGAATCCACCAGCCACTCTGCGGGAGAAAGATATGGCAGTCTGCTCCCATAAAGATTAAGACCAAAAACCAAACCTGTTGTCCTCAAGTAGATATGGACTCAAAGCAAATCTTATACAAATGAAAAGGAATCCTGGCGATGCAGTGGTTAAGGGCTCGACTGGTAACCTAACCGAAAGATTCGTAGTTCAAACCCACCAGCTACTCCACAGCAGAAAGATGTGGTAGTCTGCTTCTGTAAAGATTTACAGCCTTGGAAACCCTATGGGGCAGAGTTCTACTCTGTCCTATAGGCTCACTATGAGTCAGAACTGCCTTGACAGCAACGGGTTTGGTTTGTTTGTTTTTTTAATACAAATTAAATCTCAAACCTCCAGAATTTGGGGATATGTCCACCAACAACCAAAAACTATAATCAAAAATAACATTTGCAAAGCACTTTATATTCTTTACTTCACTTAATACTCCCAGCAACCCTGCAAGATAGTCAGGTAATTATTATTACCCACATGGTACAGGTGAAGAAACTGAGGCCCAGAAAAATCGACTAACTAGACCAGAATCACAAAGTTATTAAGTAGTGGAGCCTGGACTTAAAACTCGGGATTTTAGGATTGAAATCCCCAAATCTTTCCATTCCCCTTGTCACTTGATGCTAGGGACAGGAATGCGGCTGGGACGATGACAGTATTATTCCCTGGCTTTCAACTACTGATTTAACAGGACTACAGCGACAAAGGATCCCCAGAATCTTTTGCCCCGGTCTTCCCAACGTTAAAACTTCAACTCTTCTGTGAAGGAACATAACCTTAATGCAACAAATTAATCACATTTCGTTCCTTGGAGTCCAAGGTTGGTTAAGTATCACTATTATAAAAGACGATGACATTATCGAGGAGCCCAGAGAATCTAAATTATGAATTAAAATCTTTTATATCAAAGACAGATTTAGTTCAGATATGTACTCACAGTTAAGTACAATTAAATTCAAAGACCATCTTATCCCATTATTATGCCACATTTAAAATGAGAAATCCACTTTTGGAATCTTTTTTTGCTAGTAGAAATAAGGCAATTTAAACTAGCACTTCTTCTAGGTCTTGTTACAAAATACCATACTTCAAGCACAACTTATCTAAACTCCAGTGATGAACAAATCCAATACTGGGCTCAAAGGTGGTGTTAAAATCAAATAAACAAAGGGCATTTACATCACACCCTTCCTCTCCAAGAAATACAATGGGGCAACCAGAAGCACCCCGGCTTACAGATTTAGATTTCTCCAAGATTCTAACCAATTAGTTGACCCTCATATTTGTTAACTCTATTAACCTTTATTAAAATACAAACATATATATGTACATATATATTCTTATGTCAAATACAATTGTTTCTTACAGCTACAACAAAATCCTCTCAACAAGGAGTACACCATAACAAATAAACACATACTTATTAAACCTCTCACGTACACACAGCATTAAATTATCTGCAATGAAAATTAAATGACCACTATCCTTCTGGAGCTTGTTTACATGTGGAAATAGTTTGAAATATGTTTACAGTGAGTCACAATTATTAAGCCTAAGTAGATATAACATGTAAAAGTAATAATACTGCAAAAGTAACCAAAGCAAAAATTCCTCCTCAAAAACAATGATCAATCAGTAGCATCCAAAATAAATATACACACAAATGGCCTGTCACATTTATAACACAAAAGCATTAGTTATTATCGTGTTCTGCAAACTTCATTAAGTTTCAGGGGACTTAACAAAAGTTTAGCTTGTTAAATTATAGCTAAAAACCTCCCTAGACTCAACAAGAGGTCCCATGCCTGAAGAGACCTGACCATAAACACAAGTGACAATATTAACAAAACCAAAGCTACAAGCCAGTGCATCCATCAGCACTTCAATTCCCCTGGTGTAAATGCTCCAGAGAATCAGACTCATCACCACTTCAACACTAGTAAGCCTGAGAAGAGCTGTCGAAAATCTTGTGGGCCACACAAAAAGCTCTGTGGACTGTCACAAAATAAAAGTCACAAAGCACCATGTATCAGCTTTGCAGGCCAATTCAAAACACCACAGGACCATCGAATGTAGGCGTTTCTCGGAGCAAAGTATCCAGAAAAGCAAATGTTATTTACCAAACGGCCAAGCACTTCCCAGGGGTGATCAGCACTTCCTTAGGTCCAGGACAGGCCCCTCCACACAAGCAATCACTTTCCCACAAGCAATCACTTTCCCACGTAGTGCCAACTGTACACTTGCACGCTCCGAAAACAGGGGCAAGCCCTGAATACCAGGGCAACGTTTCTATTTTATCATGGACTGAAGCTCTGAGGGCTCCCAAAGCTCAATCGCTCGACCTATAACCCTGGAGTCACTTTCCAACTGTGCTCTCACCCAGGATCATTATATCCCGAACGGAAGCCAATTATTAGTTTTAATAAGGCCTGGAAAAATAGTCAGGGGGCTCTAAAAGTTCACCTAAGAGACACGGGAAAGGTGGGGGCCTCGACGGAGAAAGCCAACTCTGAAGAACCTTGGGCTCAAACATTTTTAAAAGCGCACAAAGACCCTTTTTCTCTGATGACTTCAAGCAGACACTCAGTCATTCTGAAAGAAGCGAGGAAATGGGGCTCCGAGGGTTCACCACGACAAGCAGCCTGGACTGAGGCTCGGATTTGACCAGATACGGTCCGGAAACCGAGGCAGGGGTTTCACAGCCCCTTCTCCCCGGCCCCTTTCTCTTTCCCGACGAGCAGGCCTCTCCTCGCTCCTCTTTCCCTTTTCCTCCCTCCTTCCCTCCCCCTCAACCCGACACAAAACCAGGCCGCCTCCCCCCAAATCCCATCAACTTTCCCGACCCCCTACTCTTCCCACCTCTCAGGAGCACACAGAAACTGCAAGCCAGGAGGCTCCTCAGGACGGCCCCCATCTTCCTTTCTCGCGTTCTCTTCTCTCACCGGCGATGGGCGGCCAGAACGGGGGGAGGCGACGAGCCGGGCCGGCCGCCGCAGCGGCAGATCTGCACGCTCATGCTTCCCAGCTTTCCGGAGAGAGAAGAAAGGGGCACGTCAAGGCTCCGCGCACGCCGCCGCCGCCCGCCCTACCACGCCGCTCCGCCGCGGGCTCGCGCGACGCCAGTGTCTGCTTCCATCCCGCCGCCTCCTCCCCGAGTGCCCCGCTTCCCCCGCGCAGCTCCTCATTCAGCTTCTTCCTTTCGCGCAGCGGCGCAGGGATACGGTCGGTCCCCACACCGCCACAGGTGCCGCGACCGTCTCCCTGCGCGCAGACGAGCTCCCTCCCTTGCAGTTATGCAAAGTAGTGGGGGGCCGAGCCCACAGCCTCAGCCTGGAGACCCCGGTAGATTTGCTGGACGAGCAGGGGCGAACTTGCACAGCCGCTGTCGAAAGGAGAAGACCGTCCGGAGGCGCATTCCGATGGGATTCTTTCCCGGGCCGGCTGCTTCGTCCTTCCCTGCGGAGGGCGTGAAGCGACGTCGAACAACATTGGAGCCGGCGTGGTCGGGACTACTTTCTGTGGCTCGGGCAGGCCGCCGCCGGCCGGGCTCTTTGTGCGGTCAGCCGAGCCAGGTGGAGCTCCGTGTCCCCGCCAGCCGACCATCGGCCGGGGGACGGGGGCCGAAGGCGACGGATCCACAGGTCCACGCTCCAGGACCCGCAGCGGATCCCGTCACGCGATGATGAGCTCAACCTGCAGGATTGGAAATCGGTTTAAGCATCTCCTCCCCACCCCCCACCCCCGGAAAATAAAAACAGTAATGCTGGTTAAACCAGCTTTAAACGTGGATCTGTGTGAAGGATGTTTAAGCGACAGCTCAAAAACTGAGTTTTGTTTTTTTTGTTTATCGTAGCTTCCTATAAACACAGGCTGTCCGCGGGCAAGAACTAAAGATTTCTAAACTGACAGATAAAATTCCAAGAAACATGCGTAGGCACCTAAGACAGAGCAAAGGGACAATTCGACAGGACAGTACGTGGGATTTTACAAGTTGCACTTAATGATGAATGTGTGACACGCTTCGATGATCAATTCCCAGCTTGGAGAGGAAAGGATCCCTCAATCAGACACTGGCTTTGCACAGAGTCTGTTACAGATGGGCGTTCAGGGAGTTATGGCCCAGATCCCCCCTGAAATCACGTGTCAGGCTCGGTCTTGGCAGAGGCACGCCAATAGTTAACCGTAATAAAGCCATCAGGTGCGTCTGCGGAGCTGTCACACGCCCTTACCTGAGGGCAGGTGGACGAGGAAATGGAGCTACTCCACAGTGTTACTAATATCTCAGTGACAGTGGAGTTCACTGAGTGCTTCCACATGCATTATCAGATTTGACACTCAAAACTACCCTGGGGAAGGGCAGGTTTAGTTACTGTTACCGTCATTGCACAGAGAAGGAAAATGAGACCCTGAGGGGTTCAGTGACTTACCCAAGGCCACTCAAGAAGTAAATGAACCTGACCGCAACCCAGGTCTTCTGACTGCACTCTTGGTCCTTCACCATGCAGTACAGTTCAGTAGCAGATAGAAGGGCAGAAACAACCAAATTGCTTTCTCCCAAATTCACCTGAGTAAGTGTACCTGCCATTGACTTAAATTACTTTCTTCCAAGAACTATGTCAGGACTCAGCATATTTGGGCAAAGACCAAAATTAAATACATTGAAACGGCCATTAGGATAGCGAAATTATGTGACACTTACTTTTCTGTTTTGAAATTTCATTTAATGTTTTATGTATTTATTTTAAAAGTTTTTTAATGCCACTGTGCATTTAGTAGGTGCTGGGAATGCAAAGATAAGAAATCATAATCCCTACCCTACCCTCAGAAAACTTACAACCTAGTTTGGAAACAATAATTAATTTAAAAATAATAATTAAAATGGTAAAATTGCTATAGTGGGGATTTGTACAATATCAACAAGGGAAACAAATGCAGAACACTTAAGCTGGTCAAATTGCTGAGGCTTGAAATATAAATTGGAGTTTGCCAGGCCAACAAGACTGACAAAGGATAGAAGGATAGCAGGTGCAGAAGCACTGAATTATTAGAGGGCTTGGTATGTTGGGGATTTGCAAGGAGATCAATATAGCTGAAGCATGGGCTGCTTTTAGAGAATGTCAGGAAGTGAAGCAGGACCATTAAGTAGGCATTAGATAATAAAAGGCTTTTTAAGCCATGCTAAGAAGTTTAGATTTTAGCCTTGTTGACAATGTAGACATTGAAGAATTTTGCACATGGTAAAGAATTTATTTGCATGCTAAATAATTTCTCTGGCAGTAGGATAGATGATAGAAGGGAAGCAAGGCAAAAAATAGGAAGACCAGTGAGGAAGTTATTTTAGAAGTCTCTGAAAGGGATAGTCAGGGCAGTAGCAGTGAGGATGGAAAAGAGATAATGGATTTGAGGAACAGGAGATCAACACAATAAGACTTGGTAGCCTATTAGGTGTGGAAGGGAGAGAGAAAGCAAGTCTAGCATGAATTTCCAGGTTTCTAAATTATGCACCTGAGTGAGATGATGGATAATATGTCAAACAAGGGGTCTCTTGTATTGGAGGTGTCTGAAAAACACCCAAGTGGAGACACCCAGTAGACAATTTTGATATGTAAGTTTGGACGCGGGAGAGGAATGAGAAACGCAGCCATCGGTGATGATTGTACAGCTTGTACAATGCACCATCCAGGGGCATATTGTAGATTTGAATAGTTCTATCACAATTTTCTGAAAGATGGCAGTAAAATGTCTTAAAAGGAAGGAAAACACTTTTCCAATTCAGGTGAAATCATCTTTTGGACAAACAGTGGGCTGAGGGTAGAGATTATAAGTTAAACCCGTGAACTTACCTAAGGAGAGCATTTAGTGTAACTAGAAAAGTGGGCCAGGGCACAGCCACAGGGTACACAAGTATCTAGAGCCAAGCAGAGGAAGGGAAGCTGGGGAAAGACAAAAAGGCAAGAAGCAAGAGGAAAACTGGTTGGAATGTGTTGCCACCAAAGAAGGCATGGTCAATAATGGCAAATACAACCTACTGTGAAGAAATCAGCTAAGTGAAGCACCCGAAAGAGGCCATTGTAACTTATAACTTCCTAAAAGGTCATTGCTGGAATATGTAATACCAGCATTTTAGGAAAACAATCTGGCAGAAAAATTTACACGCCCTGTACACTAGATCCCCACTTCTTGGAATTTATCCACAGACACAAAAGCTTATAAAGATATGTGTACAAGGAAATACACTAGAGCATTGTAATAGAAAACAAACAAAAAGAAGCCTACACCATAGCCTCATCTACCCTTAGACCAGAAGAAATACATGGTGTCTACCACTACCAACTGTTCTAGTCAGGCCACAATAGATAGACCCTGATAGAATGGGAGAAGAATGTAGAACAGAACCTGAAAGTCCTAAAAATAAAATAAAATAAAAACCATACCTATTTGGACTGGTTGAAAGTAGAGGACACCCCAGACTATGGCCCTGAGGTACTCTTCAAACCTTGAACTGAAACTAAACCCTGAGGTCACGTTGTAGCTAAATAACAAATTGGCTCAAAAAATAATATCACCTGTAAGTACTGTACTCCTTAAAAAAATCACCTTTATGATACCAAACAGTCAACAATTACCTTAAAACAAAGATGAAAATGTAAGTAGGCAGGGAAACTAGATTAATGGAAATGGAACAACCAGAACAGAAATAATGAGAATGTTCATGTGTTGTGAAGAATGTAACCAATGTCACTGAATAACTTGTATAGAAATTGTTGAATGGAAACCTAAACTACTATGTAAACCTTCACCAAAAACACAATAAAATATTATTAGAAAAAAAGAAGAAGAAGAAGCCTACAAAAATGGCAGTTTTATATATAGTTCAACCTAACAGAAAGAACCTGAATGCCCTTCGATCTGGGAATAGTTAACAGTGATATATCCTTATTATGGAATATTATGTAGCTGTTAAAAATCACTAGATTTATATGTATTGACTTGGAAGTGTAGCCATGATACACTGTTAATTGAAAGAGTAAGTTACATAATAGTATGTATACCCACTGCCATTGAGTCAATTCCAACTCATAGAGACCCCATAGGGTTTCTAAGGCTGTAAATCTCTACAGAAGCAGACTGCCACATCTTTCTCCCGCGGAGCCACTGGTGGTTTTGAACCACTGTCCTCTTGGTTATCAGTCAAGCACTTCACCACTGCATCACCAGGGTTCCTTAATAGTATGCATAGAGTGATGGAATTTTTGTTTAGAAAGGAAGAATGAAGGGAGGGGGAGAGAGAGAGGGAGAAAGAAAGGGAGGAAGACAGAGAGATTGAGAGAAAGAGAGAGAAGAGTGAGGAGAGTATAAGTTGTTAGGTACTGTTCCAATCAATTCCGACTCATAGTAACCCCTGTGACATAGTAGAACTGCCCCTAGGGTTTTCTAGGCTGTAATCTTTACGGAAGTAGATTGGCAGCCGCTGGGTGAGTTCCAACAGCCAATCTTTCTGTTAGAAGCTGAGCGCTTAACCATGGCACCACCAGTTCTCCTTGATATAGGTGCATACATGTCTGTTTTGGATTAGATGAACAAAGCAAAAAGTATGGCCAGCACACGTGAAATCATAGAGAGCGGACCCAGGGGAACGCACTTAAAGTGAAGAGTATGCACTTAACAGCTACATAATACCACAATTCTACTTTAGATATTTTTTTATTATTTGAGCTGTTATGAGGACGAGTATTTTTTTTTTTTAAATAAAATGGCTGGATTTTAACTCACTAATAAGCTTAAAATGAACAAAAGAACGTCATTCATGACTTCATCCAGAGTAGTTCCAGCAGAACCAAAGCTGAATTGAGAAATGAATGGGAAACAGGGAGAAAGGACAGAGATTTTCCCAGAGTATTGTTGTTAGAAGAAAGAGCAATTGGGGTGGCTGTGAAGGAATTGTGGCGGGGGGGGGGGTTTGAGGGTGGACTTGGTAAGGGTTGATTTGTTATTTGTTTTTAAGTTTGAGAGGAATACTGTATGATGATATTTATAATCTGAAGTGACTGATCCAATAAA